TGGGTCATGATCCGGGGGTCCTGGGATGGGCCCCACCATCAGGATCGGGGCCCCAAGTCATCAGGCTCCCTGCTCAGCGGGGAGTCTGCTTCTCCCTCTGCCCCTCCCCCTGCACGTGCTCTCTCTCTCTCAAATAAATAAATAAAACCTTTTAAAATAAGTAAAGTTACTGAAGTGATGGAGAAGTCATTGTTTCTTTTAAAATGAAAGAAAAACGATTTTAAGAGGTAGCATGTTAGATTATACTCTTACATAAGAACATTTAGGTTTAACAAAATCTTTTTAAATCTCTGAAAATAGTATTCTCTAGTTTTTAAGTTAATAACTGGAGAATATGGAACATTATTCCATATACTCTTCAGTCTTGCCATCAGGATATACCTTTTGATGGAGATGAATAAATCACTCTGACATGTAAACCATACAAACCAGTACCTATTTTAAGATGCCCTTGAAAGATAAAGGCCCACACCCCAAAGGTCCAGCTTATTGATTTATCAACACTAGCACTACATTTCTGATTATCTGCCAAATGCAACTCATCCCACTCTTGCTTTAGCTCGTAATAACAACAATATTTCGTTTCTAAAATCAGAGCGGCAAACAAAACGTTCCAACCAAATACAACTTTTCTGGCTCATGGATCCTGTTCTGTTCCACAGGAAAAGCACCCTTAAGGTCTCTATGAAGTACATTATGCCACATATTTGTGACACTGAATAAATTAATAAACCAAATTAACTGAACACTAAATAAATAAAATGCCTAAACGTCTAGAGAACATAAAGATTAGTGATCATGTGAAACTAATTATGCTACTCTTTCCATGGTATAGGTCAATTTTGGTTGCTGAGCATTCACTCAACAATCATTTGCTGAGTTGTGACTGTGCCAGACATGAAGGATAAAGACACACATGACAGGGGCGCCTGGGTGGCTCAGTCGTTAAGTGTCTGCCTTCGGCTCAGGTCATGATCCCGGGGTCCTGGGATCGAGCCCCACGTCGGGCTCCCTGCTCCGCGGGAGGCCTGCTTCTCCCTCTCCCTCTCCCCCTGCTTGTGTTCCCTCTCTCGCTGCGTCTCTCTCTGTCAAATAAATAAATAAAATCTTAAAAAAAAAAAAAAAAAAAAAAAAGACACACATGACAGAGTCCCTGCCCTCAAAGGAGGACCTGTCAGGTGGCCAGACATGGATGCAGAAAGAATACAACACAATCACTGCTAACACGGTTGTTATTGCCAAGATGCTAGGAGTCCACAGAAGAAGAAATTCCAATGGTCTGTTTTGTTTTGAGGGGAGCACGAGGACTCCAGAACACTTCACACAGGTGGACACTAATGAGTTTAAGCCTGGGAAAACAATGAAGCAGCACTGGCCAAGCAGGAAGTAGGAGACAAGTTATCTTAGAACTCTGCTTAAAGCAACCAGATATCTCAGTAAAGCCATTTCATTTCAGTGTTGAGAAAATTTACAAGATTATATTAGCATGTTTAATCAAAAGGCACACAGCAGCTGCATGGCAGAACTGAGACCAAAACCAAGGTCCCCATGTTTTTATCCACTTCACCAGGACATTTAACAATGGTTAGACTTTATAATCTTACAAACGGTATGATTCTAAAGTAAGATTTTTTTTTTCCAGGCCATACTGCTGAACTCCAAGCAGAACATGTATTGATTCTAAAAATCAACTAAATTCCCTGGTTTTACATCATATATTCCCTTAACACTTATCAGGATGGTTTCCAAAATGCTAACATCAAAAGAGATAGCCGTCTTACATTTTAGCTTTTAATAAAAATTCCTATTATAGAATGCAAAAATTATTTACTCTTATGCTGTATTAGCAAGGGTGGGGGAAAACAGACATTTCACTGATATATATGTAACTGGTTGGAGTGCAACTCTGGTACGACTTTTGTGAAGTGTGGTCGGATGTAGTCAATGCTGCAACACTATGAGTAACAGCCAAAGACTGGAAGCAATGTAAAAATTCCTCAAAAAACAATTAGATAAATGAAGGTGCATCAATAAAGTAAGGTGTACTGAAAAATCAGACATTCATGATGAAGAATGAGGAAACTCTAGACAGTACTGACAGGGACCATTCTCCAAAGCCTCAGAAACTTACTCTCTGAACCTCAGTAACTTCAAAGTACTGGTACCCCAGGACAGCCCAGCTAGGCAAGTAATAAGTTATCTTCATATTACTGACAACTGATCAAGCAAACTCATGGCAAAAATGCAGCCAAGTGGCCTTCCAAAACTACCAATTAGATTGAGCTTGATAATACCATACTACAGTGCCCTCCAACTTGCAAAATATTTTATAACAACATTCTACCTGTAAAAATGAAAAGAGGTCGGGCGCCTGGGTGGCTCAGATGGTTAAGCGTCTGCCTTCGGCTCAGGTCATGATCCCAGGGTCCTGGGATCGAGTCCCGCATCGGGCTCCCTGCTCCTTGGGAGCCTGCTTCTCTCTCTCTCTCTCTCTGTCTCTCATGAATAAATAAATAAAATCTTTAAAAAAATAAAATAAAATAAATAAAAAAATAAAAATGAAAAGAGGTCTTACAGTGCTTAATAAAATTAATACAAGAAAAACCCACGGGCGCCTGGGTGGCTCAGTCAGTTAAGCGTCTGCCTTTGGCTCAGGTCATGATCTCAGGGTCCTGGGATTGAGATCCAGGTTGGACTCCCTACTCAGGAGGGAATCTGCTTCTCCCTCTCCCTCTGCCCCTACCCCTACTTATGCTCTCTCTCTCTCTCTCAAATAAATAAATAAAATATTTTTTAAAAATATTTAAAAAAGAAAAAGAAAAATCCACTTAAGCAAAAGCTCCAATATGACTAATGAATTTAGTAAATCACAATTCTATTGGTCAAATTCATGATCTACACGTGAAGTCAGAGCCCAAGTGTAACACACATTATAAAATCTCCAACTCACATTTCATAGATATAAATAAGCAAGTCATATATTTTGTCCTGATAATTTGAACTGAAATGGCTTGCTTTCTGTTTCAGAAAATTATTTAGTATTATTTCAATAATAGCAAACTAGTGTTAATAAAACAATTCTTTTTGAGGATACTGAGTTCTTTGCTGACCTAATGAAAGCCCTGGTACTCCCTGAACCCCAAAGACCACCTAACACTTGATGTTAAAAAGCATGATCACTAGAAAAACTTTATTCAAACAAGCAGTAAATTATTTATTGGTAAACATTTGATATACATTTCATTCAGAAGGTACTAACAATACAATAACAAAGAAGGCAGACATGTTCCTCTGCCCTCTCAGAAAATAATACTGGGGACAGAGGGAGGGACAGACACAGCTACAAAAGAAATACACAGATAAACTACAATAATATAATAGGTGTTACAGACGCACAGATGAGGCGCCCAAGCCCAGGCTTGGGAGAACAAGGTATCAGAGAATGTTTTCCAAAACAAATGATGTCCAACCTGCAGCCAAAATGGTATGTTCACACTGACCAAAAAAATAAGAGGATAGAGAAAAACAAAGAATGTTCCAGGCAGTCAAGTTAACATGGCAAAAGCCAAGAAGTGAGAGAGTACATAAACTGTTCAAGGAAGTGAAAAAGTTCAGTATGCAGGAACAGAGACGTAATATATCAGGCCACAGAAATAAGAAGGAATCAGACAATTCCTAAATCATATTAAAAAGTTTAAACTTCAATCTAACAGAAAAATGATAATCAGATTTGTGCTTTAGAAACAGCCACTCTGACAGAAATGAAGAATAAGCAAGAGGTGCAAAGACTAGAGGCAGAGCCAGCTAAGATGAGCATTTCAGTAAAGCACTGAGAGGCTGGATGGTAGCTGGACTGGTAGGGGCAAGTGAACAGAAGCGGACAAGAGCTAAGAGAGAAACAGGGAGTAAACAAGATTTGGTAATAAACTGGATGTGAGAAATAAGGGCAAGGGTAGAGTCAAGAATTAGTAAGCAAATAACTCGAAGCTAGAATACATGGAACTTGGGTTTCATCTACAGCCTAGATACAATGCCTAGGTACTAAATATATTTGTTAAATGAGTAAAGATTTCACATTTAGCGGCAAAAAGATGAAGAAAATAGTTTACACTCTAACAACAGGAAAAGTATATATTTGGCTATGATAAACATAGCTCTCACTATAATTTAAACAAAAAAAGCTACTTTAGTGCAACATCTGTGTGGGGTAAACAAGACCAAGATACCTCAGACCACAAGGTAAGTGAGGAAAAATATTCAAGGCCAAAGCCCGCCTCAGCAGTTGCTAGAAACTGTGGATGTTACAGAATTGCTGGAGCACTTCCTAAGTGTGGTATGGACCTGCTCATCTACTGCTGAGTGACTTTTCTACACATCATGTGACTTCTACACCAGAACCAAAATATCATCTGGCCCTGGCATAAAGACAGTCCCTGACCTTCAAGCACTGGAAACTTCACCAAGGCAGGGAGGGGCAGGGATCTGAGGCCAAGTGCTTCCTTCAACAGAGTATTTCCACAACTTGCTCCCACCCAGATTTTACAGCTGGGATGATGTTCATCTCTAGAGGGTTTAGCAACAAAATGCTGACTTCAGTTGTTTTTATATTAGCAAATATCAGAAACTAGCAGGCAAATACCACTCTTCAAAGAGAATACCAAAAAAAAGTTACAGTAAAAAATTAAAATATACAGTTATATTAAAAGAATCACCAAATACTGAAGTTAGCAGAAATAACAAAGTTTTAAATAAAAGAAACATTGACATAGTAATAAATGGCATCAGTTAAAGTCTGAAATATATTCAATCTAAAAAGTTCCACAATTTGTATCTAATTTTCTAACAATTTATTCTAAAGGTTAGATAATTTGGTCAATATTCATCTAGGAAATATTTGTAAATTTACACCATCATCAAATTAATAAGCCTCCAAATATATATTACATACACTAATTCCAAAAATCCCAAGGAAGCAAAAATCAGTATGATCAGTTCCTTACCTGCAGCTCCTTTGAGACTCGCTCTAGGTGATTAGTTATCTTCTTAATCAGATCACTGTACATCTGTTCTGAGTGCTGCTGGCAGACACATTTATACACACAACTGTGGGAAAAAACCAAAACAGAAAAACCAAGTTAACAACGAAGCACTTCATTCAACCTAAGATGAACGCATACTTCGGATATACAGCCACTAGTCATCAAATGATTGATTCAGGCCTAAATAAAGTGACCAATCACAACTTTTTATTATCTGAGACAGAGACAGAGAGCGAGAGAGAGGATGCATACACTCGAACAGGGCAGGAGCAGAGGGAGAGGATCTCAAGCAGACTCTGCACTGAGCAAGGAGCCCAACCGCAGGGCTCGATCTCACAACCCTGAGATCATGATCTGAGCAGAAATTAAGAGTCAGACACTTAACTGATTGAGCCGTCCAGGCACCCCAACCAATCATAACTTCTAAATAGAAATTTACGTTGCCCCAATCAGTGCTCAGATGAAAGAGATACTACCACCAGCTGTAAATCTTTCTGAGTACTGCATTACACATTTTGTCAGTACTAGATAATGCACTATTGGGTGATAATCTGAAAATCTGACTACGATAACTACTTACAAACCAGCTTCTCTCTCATTCTTTCGTTTCAACGAATGTCAAAATAAGGGAAAGAGAGTGATAATTAGCACTAACTAACTCACAAAAAGGTTTGTAATGTGACCTCTTTGTGCATCACTGTGTTGAACAACACAATTGTCACCTCCTTTGTGACTAGGCTGATCTCATGTCCCACCCCAGATCCTCACTAATTTTCTGCTTCCATTTACCAGGACCTGGGAGACAAAATAACCACAGATAGTTAGGACTGTGTGTTAATAAAAATCAAAAGATTAAACTAGGGTCTCCGTGTGAGACAAAAAGTATGTATTTCTGTGCCAGACACTTGTCATTCTTGTCTTTTTCACTTACCTCCAAAGTTTCTTCATTATGTATGGAGGGGGGGTAGCAGGCTAAGATGGGAAGAAGTCTAAGTGAGGTGGGCTTAACTCTACCTTGACTTGAGAGCCAATTCTGAAGCACAAAGTATCAATCAAACCTCCAACCTCCAAGTGTGGAATATAAAAATAACCTACAGATCCTCACCTGACATATATTACATGTGTACACATACTGCCATATTTCAAGTGTCATGAACCTTAATATACCCTCTCAAACCCAGGCAAATGATATCTTGACTTACCTGTATATCTGTTCATAGGATATGGGGATATAGTCACCAGGACTCTGGGTTAAAAGCTGATCTATGGCACCATCCAATTTTGGCCAGTATGTGCTCTTATAATCTTCAATAGTTATAACATTCATTACTAAAAGTAAAAAGTAAAATAAATATTACTACATATCACATGTAAAGTAAACACAAATCACAGCAATTTTGTGCTCTCAAATTCCTTTCACTTACTTTAATTTCTTTGACACTCTATCACCTAAATACAACTCAATTACTATCCCATTTCAAAAAACAAAACAGCAATCTTGTCAGGGATTTTAAAACAGCCATTAATTATGATGTAAAAAGGAATGACGATGAGTCCGTCCTTAAAAATAAAAACAAAACTAGCAAGCATCATTGGTTTCCTTTTCCAGTTATCTATTAACAGTGGCACATTCTCAAACACACACCCTCCGATATACACTGTCAATGAGGTGACAAGATGGCCTATCCATGAACCACAATAAAGTTCTAGGGAATTAGAACCCCAACAATCAACCCTTAGAGACACCCCTAAGAAAATCTACCTAACAATAGGACTAGGGATTAAAGTCCAAATGCTACCATAACAAAAGAGGTTGCTAGAAACTTGCAGGGATCTTTGGCACCACCAGCACTTCCTGGACATGACTACAGCTCTGACTCAGATTCTACCTATCTCACACTTGATAAGCCCAACAGAAAAACGTCAACAACCTGGAGACTTACAATAGGCTTACCTTATTCCTCCTGTCTGGTCTTAGTCCTTCACTAAAGGTTCATAAAGCTTTTATAATAGCTGGTCCTAACAACTCTGAAATCCAGGCCGACAGCTGCTTCACAACAATGAAACGCTAACAGGAAAAAGAGCGACTACCCGCCTGTCCTGGAGAAAAGAGCTATCCAAAGAGCCTAAAATACTCTTTCTTTTTTTTTTTTAAGATTTTAGTTTTATTTATTTGAGAGGCAGGGGAGGGACAAGCAGAGCCAGAAGTGGGGCTTGATCCCACAACCCCAATATCATGACCCAAGCCAAAATCAAGAGTCAGAGGCTTCATCTATTTGAGCCACCCAGGTGCCCAATACCCTGTGTCTTATGAACCAACACTATCTCAGGAGATCGGAGCTAACAACTACTAGATCAGGTATTTTACTATGTATTTTACCAGAAACTGGGGAGCAAAGAGTTGACTTCCCCAAGAGTACATGGCTAATTACTGCCAGAAGTACCAGATAAAGAAAGCCTTTTATCTAGCACCTTTCTATCACATTACTGATTTCTAAATTCAGGTTCAGAATGTTTCTCATATGTATGGACCACCCCTGTCATTGTTGTTCAGTATTTTCTTTAAATCAATTCACTCTTTCTTGCTTAAATTTATTCTAAAGGACACCTGGGGGATGAACTATTGATTCATAGAGCATGGAATAATCTTAAATGCATTTTGCCAATTGAAAGAATCAGACCAAAATGGCTACATATTAGAAGATTCTCACTTATATGATGCTAATAAAGTCAAAACTATAAAAAGGAAAACAGACTGGGGGCTGGAAAGTGGGGAGGACTGTCTACAAAGGGTAGCATGGGAAAATGAACTCTTGTGTAGAACCAGTCCTAGTGGATATAGCACCCCAGGCATTTGTCAAAACCAACATAAGTATATACCATAAAAAAGTACATTTACTGTATGAAAATTTTAAAAAAAAATAAAATAAAATAAAATAAACCAGGATGTATAAGTAAAGATAGAATGAAAATCTTGACAAATGAATTCTTGCACTGAAAGGAATGGAGAAGAAACAAATGTTTTGGCTACACATAAGGCTAAAAACAGAACTATATATGCATGTACAAAGACACACACACACACAAAAGGATAGAGGAGGCCAAATCACAGAGGGCCTTAGGGGCCATTCCTTTACTCTGAGTAAGATGGGGACATTTGGAGGGTTTTGGGTGAAGTGATGTGATCTGACTTAGGTTTTCTATGGCTCATCCAGCTGCTACGTTAGGAGTGAGCAAAGTCAGGAGGCTGTGAGGTGATGGGGGTTGAACGAGGTGGCAGTAGTGGGGGTGAAAGAGGTCAGATTTGGAATAAATTTTAGAGGTTGAGCCAACCAGATCTGCTGATGGTCTGGGTGGGAGACATGACAGAAAGGTCAAGGATGACTCCAAAGTTTGTGGCCTGAGCACCACAGGATGGGACTGCTGTTTACTAGGCTGAGGAGGATGTAAGAGAACCTTAGAATATTTGAAAGCCCAGCAGAAATTGTTGGTGCCCCACCCATTTACTCTGTCCACAAAGGCCACTGTCAGTACCAACCATTATTTGCCTCAGTGTTCTCTCTGGCTGTCAGAGTTGCTCTGACTGAAGGAGGGGCAGCTTGGAAGTTCTGAAGAATTAACAACCCCAGGAGCCTTCAAGTAAAAACAAACGAGAATTCAGTATAAATATCCCAGTATCTCCCTTTTACTCTGGAGTAAGACAAGGCTGAGGTGCATGTGCTACACGGACTTCCAGAGCTCCCCACTGGGCTTACACTCCTGTTGTCCACAGTGGTGACTTCCTTACTGGCTTCCTTACCTTTTCTGTCTCATGTCGCCATTCCCCTGCAGGTGCGTCCTAGAATCACCCCCTTGTGCTTACAACTATTTGTGCTTTAAAAAAGGGGCGGGGGGAGGAATCTATCAAAAATAGAAAAGCAGTATCATTTTCCATTAAACAAAAGATGATACAGAAATAAATACAGTGTTATTATTAAATTCTAGCCGTGTCCTACTGCCTGAAGCTGGAGCTTGCTTTCCCTGTGAAAAATGGAGATTGGCCAATGTTGAGAAGTGTTACACACTACCTCCAAAATACCATCTTTCTGCTTTTTGAAGGACTCAAAGAAAACTGAAAAAGAAAACTGGAAATAACTAAAAAGAACATCGCTTTCTCACTACAGGATTCTAGGTTGGTGAATCTCCGATCAATCTATCACCTAAACCATATCACATACCTGCTCGACACCAAAAGTTGGAGTTTAAAGAAGGTAAGTGACATGCTCAGAAAGAAAATTTCAAGTACAGAAGCCAAGAATTAACATAATCCCATGGGCACCCGACTGCTGCTGCGTTCAATGAACTCTGCCTCTGCTGCAGTTGGAGAGCGCTCCTACTTCTCCAACACAGGCTTTACACCTCAGCAAATTACCAAGACAAAAATTCAAAGGAGGAAAAAGAATCTAAAATGTAAAGTCCTGCAGCTGTAAGTACAGAACGGGAGTCCCACTACAGAGGTGGTAATTCATGTGGCATGGTTTTTTGTTTTTTTTAATGTTCTGCTTTTAAATATCTTTTTTTTTTTTAAAGATTTTATTTATTTATTTGCAAGAGAGAATGAGAGACAGAGAGCACGAGAAGGAGGAGGGTCAGAGGGAGAAGCAGACTCCCCGCTGAGCAGAGAGCCTGATGCGGGACTCGATCCCGGAACTCCAGAATCATGACCTGAGCCGAAGGCAGTCGCTTAACCGACTGAGCCACCCAGGCGCCCCTTAAATATCTTTGAAAAGAGACTTTAAAACCAAAATGAAAAAGGCATGATCACGGAAAAATCTTAAAGCCTATTTCCACATGAAAAAAAGTCGTATCTATTTCCACTCTACATTTCCAAATATAAATATAATAAAAATTTATTTATACATATATTTTGCTTGAGAAATAATAGGTAGCCAATTCAGTTGACCTCAAATGCTACCTGTTATAAACTGAATATTTGTGTCCCTTCCCCCAAAATTCATATGGTGAAATCTTTTTTTTTTTTTAAGATTTTATTTACTTGAGAGAGAGAGAATGAGAGAGAGCGAGTACATGAGAGGGGGGAGGGTCAGAGGGAGAAGCAGACTCCCTGCCGAGCAGGGAGCCCGATGTGGGACTCGATCCAGGGACTCCAGGATCATGACCTGAGCCGAAGGCAGTCGCTTAACCAACTGAGCCACGCAGGCACCCCTATGGTGAAATCTTAAACCTCCAATGTGATGGTACTGGGTGGGGCCTTTGGGACTTGATTAGGTCATGGGAGTGAGATCCTCACAAATGGAATTAATGCCCCCAGAGAGCTTCCTCACCCTTTATGCCATGTAAAGACACAGCAAGAAGACAGTCTACTATGAACCAGGAAGCAGGTCCTTGCCAGACTCTGAATTTGCCAGCACCTTCATCTTGGACTTCCCAGCCTCCAGAACTGTGAAAAATAAGTTTCTGCTGTTTATAAGTCACTCAATCTCTGGTATTGTGATAACGGCTTGAATGGACTAAGATACTAGCTAATATAACTTTCTTCTAGGAAACCAGCCAATCTTCACCGTAGTAGTAAAAGAACAGGAGAATACAGACAAGTATCAGAAGAACCAGAGGTAGTCTGAAGAATGAACACACACTGGTATATACTCTTAGCCAAAGACTAGGAAGGTTTTCCATACCTGCAGTCAGAATCTGCAGTCAACACTTAAAATAACAATCCAAAAAACTTAAAGGTATTCATTATTTCCTTGCTAATGTCAACCCACCCCTGATTGAAAAATATATACAAAGCATGTGTGTGAATGTGTGTGGTGTGTAGTCCTGAATTTTAAAACTAGATCTTCTTGTTAGAGAAATGTAGTCAATCCCTTTCAACTTTGTCCACAAAAAAGTTCAGACTGACAAAAAGAAACACAAAGCATGGAAACTAAACAAAAATGAAATTACTATTAAATTACTAAATTTGGAGGGTACCTGGGTGGCTCAGTCTGTTAGGCGTCTGCCTTTGGCTCAGGTCATGATCCCAGAGTCCTGGGATCAAGGCCCGCTTGGGCTCCCCTGCTCAGCAGGGAGTCTGCTTCCCTCTCTCTCCCTCTGCCCCTCCCCACCTGCTCGTTCTCTCTCTCTCTCTCTCAAAGAAATAAATAAAATCTTAAAAAAAAAAAATACTAAATTTTATCTAGGTTAGATTTTCCAGCTTGAAAATAATGCACTTCTTTTCAAACTAAAGCCAACAAAGCCCAGGCCAGGAACATAGATGAGTAAAGCAGGCCTAGTGTAAAAATAAAAAAGAACAATGAACACTTCAAAGAACTGAAGGCTGCCGTGCC